AATGGAATCCATGGCAGTCCTGGGAGGGGTGGGACCGCCGGCAAAGCACGCGGGCCGGCGCAGATTGGAGGACCAGGGAGAAACGGACTGCCCTTAGAGGAGACGCGCACTACGCCGACAAACGACAGCGCGGACGGGACTTCGACCGCAAGTGAACTCGCCTGGTCTATCCAAGGTGCGACGCCCCCTCCATTTCTCCAGGCCCAGGAAGGCAGCCCCTTCATCGCGGGCCACTCGGCTAGGGCTCCATCGCGCATTCCCTGCTCTTGCCCCCCCCTGCCCCCCATGGGCACTTCCCGGTGCACGTCTACGGCTCGAGCCACTTTTCCCCCTCAACGCCACTCCAGGTCGCGGCTCTGCCCGCCTTCCCCCCGATCACGTCAGTACTCCGTGTTGCCACTCAGCCCGTCTCGGAACGCAGCGCTTGCTTTTTGGGCAACATCGACCTCGGCCAGCTGGGGGCAGCCTCCACCTACTTATACAGAGTGGTCTCCATCGCGCTGACCCTGTGGGCCATATGGGCCCCCGACGTGCCATGCGGGGCCCAGTGGGTCGGCGCCCCATGGTCCTCGACGGTCGCACCGTCCGTGGGTGGCCCCTTCACGACAGGGGCTCGTTTCACCGCAGTGACAGGCCCTGGCCTTAATGCACGTGTCACCTCCTGGGAGCGAGGTGCACTACTCACACTGCGTCTAGACCCCCACGGGGCTTCGCGGGCTCTTAGCCCGTGTGGTCTGGCTGCAATAATCCTGCCCACGGTTCATGTTGGCCTTGTTCACACGGACATTATCCCGTTTCGCCCGCTTGGGCACTCACTCTGGTTGGCTGGGGCTGCAGGCCTAAGGCCCACCCCATGCGCTCCACGCGCTGCGCCCCCGACGTCCGACGGCCTTGCCCTGGCGCCCCCCCCCCCCCCCCCCCCAGGCGGACGACGCGCGCCGACGACATACCGACTACGCCGCGTTGGGTCCTCGACGGTCTGTGTCGCCACCTGGCTCCTCCTCCCCCATTGTATTCAACTGACCTGCGGCTATCGGCTGCGCCTCCCCTCTTCCCTCCCGACGACTGGTGTGGCTGGCCATTCGATGTGTCCGACCTCCTCGCTGCAGGGCGCGCTCAACACTGGCTGCTGCGTCTGCGGGCTACCGCCGACGTGGCGGCTCCCCCGCGGCAGGCGCGCGCCTCGCCGCAGCTGCAGGCCCCGGCCTCGATGCCCGGCGTCACCTCCTGGGGGCGAGGTGCACCTCTCTCACGCCTGTCGTCTGGCGGCCTTGCCTGGCGGCGCTCCCCCCGCCGGGCTGGCGCCCTACGCCGACCACTTTCCGACTTCGACTTGTTGGGTCCTCGACGGAACGCGTCGCCCCGGCTCTCCCCTCTCTCTGTTTCCATCTGTCTTGCGGCTATCGGCTGCGCCCCCCCTCTTTCTCGACGACTGCTGGGGCGGGCCGGCGACGTGCAAGCGTTCGCAAGGTGCGCTCCGCACCGGCAGGGGCCCCCGCGGACCACTGCGCCGTCGGGGTGGTCCCTTCTCGACAGGGACTCGTTTCACCGCGGTGACAGGCTCCTGCCTTAATGCCCTTGCGTCACCTCCTGGGGGCGAGGTGTATCTCTCACAGCACTGCGTATAGATCCCACAGTGTCTCGCGGGTCCTGCCCGGGCGGCGCTGGCCGTGCTTCCTGCCCGCGGCTCACTGTGGCCCCGTTCTCGGACCAGGGCCCGTTTTGCTCGCCAGGGCCCTCGTTTTGGGCGGCTGGGGTCGCCGGCCCACGGCCCACCCCATACGCTCCACTCGACGCATCTCGGGCGGCTGGTCCCCTTGCCCAGTGGCAGTTCCCCCCCACTCGGCAGGCGCCCTCGGCTACGCCACGCTCAGGGTGCGAGTGCCAGCCTCGAGCATTCAGGTGCTCCGTGAGTGAGGGTTTCCCGGTTGGCTGTTGCCCGCCTTGCCCCTCGTTTCCCGGTCTGTCGGGTGCTGGCGCCACTGTGCGACGCCCCGCTGTCACTGGGTGCCGTTTTTGTGCGGCTCAGTGAGGTTCACTTTGTTCCTCGCATGTGCGCTCCGGCGATGGTTTTGGCCCGCTGGCAATTATTTTGCTTGCTCGTGGTCGCTTGCGCCTTCCGGCGTCGGCTTTTGGCCCGCTGGCATTTCTCCGGTTTGCTCCGTCGTGTTGTGCTGGCGCCGTTTCGGCGACCCCTCGCACTCTTCCCGCGCCCGTCCCCCCCGGTAGACGGCAAGGTGCGTCTCCTCGAATTTGCTCGGCATGCTTGCATGTGCGGTCGGCTGTCGACAGTGACGGCTGGGTTCGCAAATTATCTGGCTCTGTGCCCCAGTCAGCCCGATTGACCCGCCCTCTGGAGTTGTCCTTGGGGCCGCAGATAACAAAAAAAAACACATCCCCACCAGCCCATCCAGAAACGACGCCCAGGCGAGTAGAGGTGATCGTGGAAGCGGGGCAGCATACAGAGGAACAATGGGCTGGGGAGGCCGTCGTACCCCAAGGGGGGGGGGTGGAGGAGGAGTCGGAGGCGGAAAAGGAGGAGGATGAGGGTGGGGAGGGAGGAATGAGGAGGAGGAGGAGGAATAGGCGAATGAATATGTTGATGTTGATTTTGATGATGCTGATGATGACGATGATGGTGGTGGTCTTGACGATGGTGATGGTGATGGCGATGGTGATGATGATGATGATGATAGTGATGATGAGGGGGCGGAGGAGGAGGATAAGGGCAATCAGAAGAGTCAAAGGCCTCTTGAATACCTCGCGGAGTCTCTTGGGATGTCTCTTGGGATACTCTTTGAGGTCTCTTGGGGCGTCTTGGGGGCCTCTTGGCGGTCCCGGCAGCTTCTTGGACCGTCTTGGGTGCCTCGTGGGAGCCTCTTGGGGCCCTTTGGAGGCCTCTTGGGGGTATTTTGGGGGACTCTTGGGGGCCTCTTGGGGCCTCCTGGTCGCTTCTTGGGGCATCCTGGGTGCCTCTTGAGGCCCTCTTGGGGCGCTCGTGGGAGCCTTGGGAGCGCTCCTGGGGCCATCTTGGAGGTGATCGATCAAAGGAAGGGGGTCCCTCAATTAGCACCCCCCCATCGGGAGCCTCTAACATCGGCCAAAACCTCAGTAAAACCGATGATTTTGGCTTCCTCGCCGAGGCCGTTTTTGACGCCCCAACTACCAGCGAAACCCCCCGTCCAGGTCCAGGGGTGGGGGTTAGGGGGAGGGGTAAACCCCTCCCCGGAGGGGAAGAAGGAGGGGTGGAAGAGGAAACTCCTGGAACCACCTACGCCCAGAGGGCTGGTGGGATTACTCGGAGGAGGTGTTTGCAAGACCTCATTGGGCGGGAAATCTTGGAATGGGAATAACGGACCCCGCTATAGAACACGAGTCCCACTGAAGGGGATGGTTATCATGATGGTCGCATGCTTCGTGTGGAATCATCGCGCATGAGGGTGACATGATTGTTGTTGGCGGTGGTCGTGGTGTTGCGGTTGGCACTGCTGTTGGTGATATTGTTGCCGTCGTTGGTGTTGTTGTTGTCGTCGTCGTTGTTATTGTTGATGCTGTTGTTGTCGTTGTTGCTGTTGTCGGTGTTGGTGTTCTTGTTTGTGTTGTTATTGGTGGTGTTGATGTTGTTGATGGTGTAGTTGCTGGTGTTGTTGTTGGTGTTGGCGTTTGTAATGTTAGTGTGACTGTTATGTTTGCTATTCCAATTTTTCGTTGTAATATTTTGATTGTTGTTGTTGGTGGTGGTGGAGATGGTGTTGTTGTTGTGGTTGTTGGTGTTGTTGGTGGTGTTGGTGTTGTTGCTGTTGTTGGCGGTGGTGGTGTTGTTGCTGCTGTTGTTGATGGTGATGATGTTTGCTGTCGTCCCGCCCGCGACCCGGCCCGCGACCCACCCGCGACCCACCCGCGACCCATCCGCGACCCACCCGCGACCCACCCGCGACCCACCCGCGACCCACCCGCGACCCACGCGCGACCCACCCGCGACGCACTCCGCGACCCACCCGCGACCCACCCGCAACCCACCCGCGACCCGCCCGCGACCCACCAGAGACATGAAACGCGATCCGCCCGCGATCCACCCGCGACCCACCCCCGACCCACCCGCGACTCCCGCGCGACCCACCCGCGACGCACTCCGCGACCCACCCGCGACCCACCCGCGACCCACCCGCGACCCACCCGCGAATCGCCCGCGACCCACCCGCGACCCACAACGCGCTCGCCCCATCCGCAATTGCGGGGTGCTAGATAATAGAAGGCGAGGAGAGGAAGGGGAAGGGCAAGTTCACGCCGGAGTCATATGAGGCAGCCTGAAGTCGCCGGGGCGGGTAGGTTTCGAACCCAGACCGTGGGATCGAATCCCGTACTTCCCTCGTTCGCGAGTTGTCCCCCGTCCCCTTTGCAACATGTCAAGTTTCCGATATCAGACGTGCGATGTAGAGCAGAGCTCGTTGTGCACACTGGCTCCGTGCCAGCTTCTTGCGCTGCGCCGCCTTTTCAGATAGGTCTAGCAGCCACGGCATACGGCCCTCGCTCCTGCCACCACGTGAGCCGACAGGGCAGGGAGCGGGGGGGAGGAAGCACGAATCGTGGTCGGCTTGCCAGCAGAATGGCCAGGGGGGTGCTGGGAACCGCCATATGGACCTTGCGAAGGAAGGAGGCAGTCACACACCGGGCGACCCCGCTCCACTTACCGCGGCCTGCCCTTCTTCGATCGAGCCGATATCACGGGCGGTATCCGCGGCCGACCGACCAGGGTGGCAAAGACCTCCTGTGAAGCCCACCCAGGGCACATTTCGGTCCGATCGATCCGATGCAATTCGATTCCAGCATGCCGACGAGCCGATACGGCCCGATGCTTTCGCAGCGCTATAGCGCATCCTGGCGCGGCCGATTCGCTTCGATTCCGATTATGTACCGATGCAGCCGGGTCCAGAGCATTCTCCGATTCGATCTGGTTTCCCGATTCGATATTGGTTTTCTTGTCTCACCCCCCGCCCGAGGCAGACAGTCTGGCGGAACCGCGAGCCGGAGCCTTACCGGGATTTCGACGATTTCCTGGGGTCGCTCCGTGTCAAGAACAGGGTCGAGATCGCGAGGCAGCGGCAGGCGGGCGACTCCGAGCAAGGGGGGAGGGGGGAGGGAATTGGCGAGGGGGGAGGGGAGGGGTAGCGGGGAGCGAGAGGGAGCTGGCACTGAGACTGTTGAACGAGTTGGTTCCAGCGCGCCGATTGTCCCGCCGCTGACGCTAATGCCTGCCCTCTGTGCGCCTCTCGGGCCAACGTGGCAAGCCGAGCTGGCGACAGGCTCGACACGAGGTGCCTGGAGGCCCAAGAAAGAGCGAACACGTTTAGAAACGGATCTGGATCGCGGCATTCCCCATCTCACCCTGGAGGATCGACATTCCAGGATCGAGGTACATCCGCAGGTGTTCTATTTTTTGTTCCAATTACTCTGTTGTCAGGTCCTCGCTTTGAACCCGGAATCCGCAGCGCCACGCCTTACTCGTCAATTTCTTCCTTTCTTCTTCCTCTCCCTGCCTCGGCTCATCGCATGTCCAGTTTGCCACCCACTTCACAAGTTTTTTTGTTTTTTGATGCTTGGTGTCTTGGAGGGGCTGTTTGTCCTGTCCTCCCTCGAGGATCGGGGTTCGAATATGTACGTAAGTCTTTGGCAGGCTTCGAGCCGTTCTAAGCCTTCGGGAAGCCCCCCGTCTGCACGGCTGGATTCCATTGGAAACCTGGTGGAAACGAATCCCAGTAGACGTCCAGAGCGTGTCAGTTCTTCCAACGCTCCGTGTTTTTTGTTGCGTTCCGCGTTGCCCTTGGAAGAGTCTCGTGCTCTCGGATATCACCAAGCACTCGATCATCGGTCGCGGCTGCACCGGCATGAGCTCACCATGTAGGGAAGGATTGTGAAGGCTTGACGGCCAGTGCCGCCGACCCTGAAAGACATCGACGACGATCAGGAGGGGGAGGAGGAGGAGGAGGAGGAGGGGGAAAAGGACTCCCCCCCGGGACCCCCCCCTCGGGAGGAGGACCGGAGGAGGACCGGCGTGGGGGGAGGGGAGACCCCCAAAGGCGATGCGAATCTGACCCCCTCACACCACCCCCCTCCACCCCCGCCCCCCCCGGGACCCCTCCCCCCCGCCAGGGAAGGGACAAAGGGAAGGGGCTTCCCTCTGACGTGACTACGACATGGGTCGATTTCCTCAATCCCCAGACTCCTTCCCCCGACGACGGGAGAGTGCACTCCCCCTCCCGACGGGGAAGGATGAACAGAAGAAGCGCCCCGTCGACGGGACCAGACAGACCCCTCACGCACGCCGACAGGGTCGGCTGATTCTTGACGGAAGCGATTCCTAGACCACGAGGTGTTCCCGAGGGCCAGTTCTGCAGCCCGGGTCGTCTCTGCTTGTCCGGGGGTCCGTGGAAGGGATCCAAAGGTCCGCGAGCGGCCGAGAGTTTTCCAGAACTCCATGTCCTCAAGGGCCCGCTTCCTGCACGCTGACTGGGCGAATGGGGGAGGGTTTCGCTCAGACCCTGTCTTGCAGACCCCGTCAAGTCGACCCCGTCCGCCCGTCCCCGCCCCTCCCCGCGTCGTGCTCCGCAGGCGGTGGCCGCCGCGGAGGGCCTGGAGACCGTGGTGGTGGACGGCACGGCCAACCCCGAGGAGAGCGTGTTGGTTTTATTTTGCGGCTCAGGGCCAATGGGCCCAGCAGGGACAACGAGGAGAGAGGAGTGAGGAGGCGGTGGGAGGAGGAGGAGGAGGAGGAGGAGGAGGAGGAGGAGGATGAAATACGAGGAGGTGGAGGGGGAGCAGGATGGAACAGGAGCAGTATGACGAGGGGTACATATATACACGTATCAGAGTGAGGGGGCCGAACGGTCATGCATTGTCCCTGGGTGCGTGGCTGCAGTGGGCTTCGGCGGCACTGATTGTTAATGTTGGTGTTGTTGTTCCTGTTGTTGTTGTTGTTGCTGTTGTTGTTGCTGTTGTTCTGTCGTTGTCGTTGTCGTTGTCACTGGTGTCTGTCTTGGTCTTGTTGTTGTTGTTGTTGTTGTCGTTGTTGGTGTTGGTGGTGTTGTTGTTGTTGTTGCTGTTGTTGTTGTCGTTGTCGTTGTTGGTGTTATTGTAGTTGTTGTTGGTATTGTTGATATTGTTGATATTGTTGATAGTGTTGTTGTTGATGGTATGTGTTGGTGTCGGTGTTCGTGTTGTTGCTGCTGCTGTTTGTTTTTGTTGTTGCTGTTGTTGATGATGCTGTTGCTGTTCGCCCAGGCGCCCTGGCGCTCTCGCCTCGGCGCTGGCTGTATTTTCCTTGAAATGAGGCTCACGCTCGAGCGGTTTGGGGAACCGCCAAACCGGCCCCCCAACAAGAACACCGCTCCCGCTCGAGTTTTCTCCTTTTTTACTCACTGCTGGTGCTCTTGCTCGCCGCCGACAGCCGCCGTCCCAACAAACCAACGCTCCCGCTCGAGACCTCCTCCCGTTCTACCTTGGACTGACGCGCGACTCTTTCTCTCATCGGCGCCGATTCTCCCGCTCGAGACTTCCTCACTTTTGTTACTCAAAGCGGTGCTCCGCGGGTGGGTCGCGGGTGTGTCGCGCGTGCGTCGCGGGTGGGTCGCGGGTGGGTCGCGGATGGGTCGCTTTGTGTCGCGGGTGGGTCGCGGCCAGGTCGCAGGCGGGTCGCGGGGTGGGTCGTGGGTGGGTCGCGGGGGGGTCGCGGGTGGGTCGCTGGTTGGTCGCGTGTGGGTCGCCGGTGGGTCGGGGGGGTGTCGTGGGTGGGTCGCGGGCGGGACGTCAACAACAACAAACATAACAACACACGCAACAACACAAACAACAACAACAATCATCTTACCCTCATGCGCTATGTTTCCACACGAAGCATGCGACCATCATGATAACCATCCACGTAGTTGGGGACTCTTGTTCTATAGCGTGGTCCGTTATTCCCATTCCCAGATATCCCGCCCAATGAGGTCTTGCAAACACCTCCTCCGAGGAATGTCAACATATCCCTCCTCGAAAACACATGCCCGCGCCTTGCTGCGCCGATGCGAGACCGCCAGTGGAACCCCAGCGAAGGGCAAAGCACAAGGACGTATCGAACGACAGGATTGTCTTGGTGGGGATGGGGGCTGACGGCGGTGAGGCAAGGACCTGGCCCTGAATAGAAACGGGGGAAGTCACGAGCAGGGCTGCTGTTGTTGTTGGGAGTGGCGCCAATGCTGAAGAGAGTAGGGCGCTATTCCAGCGTGAAACAAAACGAATTCTCGAGTGGGAACGCTGGTTTTGTTGGGGCGGCTGCTTTCGGCGGCGAGGAGGACCACCGCCTTGAGTAAGAAAGGAGGAGCCATATAGCGGGAACCGTGGTTTTGTCGGGACAGCGGCTGTCGGCGGCGAGGAAAAGCACCGTCCCGAGGAAAAAGAAAAGATATCTCGAGCGAGAGCGTTGTCCTTGCTGGGAGCGGCGCCAATTCAAAAGAGAGTAGGGCGCCAGTCCAGCGTTAAACGGAAGGAGGACTCGAGCGGGAGTGCTGGTTTTGTCGGGGCGGCGGTTTTCGGCGGCGAGGAGGAATACAGCCTTGAGTAAGAAGGGAGGAAGCATCGAGCGGGAGCCGTGGTTTTGTTGGGATGGGAGTTGCCGGCGGCGAGGAACAGCACCGTCTTCAGGGAAAAGGGAGGAAGCATCGAAAGGGAGCGTTGTTCTTGCTGGGAGCGGCGCCATTTCACAAGAGAATTGGGCGCCAGTGCAGCGTAAAACGGAAGGAAGTCTCGGGCGGGAGCGTTTGTTTTGTCGGGGCGGCGGTTTTCGGCGGCGAGGAAGGGGCACCGCCTTGAGTAAAAAAGGGAGGAAATCTCGAGCGGGAGCGTTGTTGCTGCTGGGGGCGGCGTCGATGAGAGAAAGACTAGCGCGCCAGTCCAATGTAAGACGGGAGGAAGTCTCGAGCGGGAACGCTGGTTTTGTTAGGACGGCGGCTTTCGGCGGCGAGCAAGAACATCAGCCCTGATTCAAAAAGGGAGGAAGTCTCGAGCGGGAGCATTGTTGTTGTTGGGGGGCTGGTGTTGGCGGTCCCCCTAACCGCTCAAGCGTGAGCCTCATTTTCAATGATAATGTAGCCGGCGCCTTGGCGAGAGCGCCCGAGCGCTTTTTAAGGTGTCCAACAATAACAACTGGTTAGCAATTAGCATTCAACAACAGCACGAACACCAACAACAGCAGCAACAACAACACACACACACAACAACCACACCAGCAACACAAACACCAACAACCACAACCACAACCACACCACCAACAACAGCAACACTCACATCGTCCACAATAATAACAACATCAACAGCATCAACAAAACCAATTGCAACAGCAACAATGCCATCAGCAATCCATTACCAGGAAGCAACAACAACCGCATCAACAACACCAACAACAATCACAATAACAACAAACTCATCAACAACACCAACACTAACAACGACAGCGACAAAGACTAAGACAACGACAACATAACAACAGGAACAACCGCACCAGCATTATCAATCCGCACAGCGGAAGCCCACTTCAGCCACGCACCCACGGACAGTGAATGGCCGTTCGGCCCCATCATTCCGATATACTCACGTACCTGTATATATGAGTATATGTAAACCTGTGGCGCGGGGATCGTCACGGCCGCCTACAACTTGCTTGTGCTGCGCCTCATGGTCGCCGTCGTCCCGTTCGGCGCCAGAGGGCGTGGGTGTGGTATGGTGTTTGGGTCGGTCTGTTGTCTCAGGAGGTGGAGGGAAGCGGAGGAGGAGGGGGGCTCGGGGGAGGCGACAGTACAACTGCACGCGAGATCGGAGATTTAAGATGCAAGGGGGGAAAGGGAGGAGGGGGGAGGAGGGGGGGCGGAGGACGGGCCAGGTATTCTGGGGAGAAAGGTATTGGAGGGAGGGAGGAGGGAGGATGATGGGGAGGAGAGCGGTGAATGCAGGATGGAGGGGAGGGGGATAAAATTCATAATTCGGGGGACGGCGAGTGAGAGAACGATCATGTGGACCATGGGGGGGTGTAATTGTGGAGGTTCGCGAAGGATTTCCATTGGGGATGGCGAAGACGACAAGGATGATGAAGAGGAGAGCGGAGGGAAGGGGGGGGGGCATGACACTTGAATAGGAGGAGGTGGGAGGAGCTGGAGGAGAAGGGTACTAGTTGTTGGGGAAGGCGGGACAAGGAGGAAGACCGAGTGGCGAAACAAGTGCCTCATGCGCAGCATCAGCAGCAGCAGCGGCCGAAAGAGGCAGGGAGGGGGGCGAAGAACAGCATAGTGCGATCAGGGATGAGGAGGATGGACGGGGAAGCGTGAACAGCAGGATGATGTACCAGAATGATGGCAATCACATTATGAAAATGATTGGGCAGGAAATGGACAAAGATGGGGAGGAGGAGGAAACGGAGGACAACGATGACAAGGACAAGCAAGACTACGATACATAGCATATGGGCATATGGGAAGACTTGCATCGACGAGGGCGGATCGGAGAGATGGCCAGGGTTTGCAGGGGGGTGGCCGGGATTGTTAGTAGGTGTCGTATGGTAGTTCATCGAAACGTAGCTCGCTTTATACAACATACCGGCAGGACCCGGACTAACAGGTGCAGGGGGAGGATGGAGGCGACGCTTACGATGGGGACAAAGATGACAAGAACGGAAACAATGAGGGCGAGGGAGACCATGATGAGGATGCCGAAGGATATTGGGGGCCCGCAGCAGCGATCTCAATGTCTCCCAGATTCCGCGTCCATTGGTGCATTGAGCGATTGAGGAACGATGCTTACGTAGTGCGCGGGCCAGACCACTGCTACAGGAAGGGAGGATTCTTGGCGGTGGTCGAAAGCCCAGCTGTGTCACATTAGTGTCGTTCACGTGCATATTCCAACTTGCTTTCTCACGCCCGCGCGCTGTTGCGAACAACCATGTCACAGCCGAACTCCGTTGGGTCGCTCGCGTGCTACATGGTATAGGGAGGGATCCATCGCGACGTGTTCGAGCTTAGTGGTTGGCGGGTGCTGACAGGTTCCGTTGACACGGGAACATGTCGAGTACATGTACATTATTGTCTACCGAAGACGGTGAGAGGTACGCCAATTTTGCTTCGGCTGACAGAGGATCGGCCAAGTTGTTGCATATGGAGGCCCCAGTTGGGAGGAGGAGGAGAAACAGGGGGAGGAGGAGGGGGACAGGGAGGAGAGCGGAGGCGAGAGTGAGGAGGAGGAGGGGGACATGTATGTGCGGCGTCGCAGGCGGTGACTCCCGAGCTCATGTCCACCGTGTTCAAGGCGAGCCAGCCCTGACAGTGAGCTTGTTCTTTCGTGCCGCACTGTCAGCGAAGGCGTTCCAGCATCGCGAATCCCGCTGGTAATGAGTAGGATGCAGCCGAATGACGCCCCCCAAGATGAAATTCTTCATGCTTCGCGTATCCCCACCAGTGTCGCCCTTGTGACGGCGGCTTTTGACCCCCCTTGCACATGGGCGTGGTGACAGTTCGGTCAGCCTTGTCGGCAGTGGCAGACAAGGACGTCGGTCAGGCACCTTTCTGGCGCTCGTGTGTGACGTCGGCTGCAGTCACAGGAATGCCTTTGATATGCGCAAGCCGCACACCGCCTTGGTACCAGGGCCATCGCGGGCGCTTTCCAGGCTTTGGCCCGAACCCCCCTCGGCGGCGTACAGATTGGCCGACGTTCCAAGTGAGTGAGTGGTCTTGGCACTTTTCGCCTGGCAGTCTGGCTCCACCAGCGGGTCCGGTTTTTTTGTTCCCCCCCTCTCGCTGGCACACGTTCAGCGGCCGGCTTCCCTATTTGCTTCCATCGCTGGCAGATGTTCAGCGTTAATTTTCTCTGGTGCTGGCACACGCTCAGCGTCTTCTTGGCCGGCACGGTGCTGCGCCGTTAATTATTTGCTTCCCGCGCGCTGTGTCCCAGCCTCGTTCTTACCGCCCTCTGGACTTTCCCTTGCGGGCCGCGAATCAAAAAGTATCCCCACCAGTCCGTGGACCCCGTCTGGCTCAAGCCGCTCTGGCCCAAGCTGCGAGCCGTCAGGAGGCCTCTGCCCGTTCCCTTCCCTTCACTTGTCTCGTTTTTCCCTTCCACATTTCCGTGATGAGCGCGTTTTTTTTGGCGGGGCCTGGTCAGAGTGGCAGGACCCACGAGGTTAGCACAGTCAAGGTTGGCGCAGTCAGCACGGTCCCCCACACGACACTCAGCGAGGTGGGCACAGCCAGGACTGGCATAGTCAGCAGGGCCGCGAATTCGACTACGCCATCACAGTCTGGGCAGCCCGCCGCGCGAGACAGGGCGCGGCTCGTCAGCGAGCAGAACAATATACTTTTCTGTTTGGACCAAGATGTGACGCTTCGGCGGCCCCGCCCGCAAACGACCCTACCACAAAGTGCGAGCCCGATGTCGTCGCTTTTATGTGTCAGCATGGTTTTGGGATGCATGCGTCGTGCTTCGCTGAGCATGGTTTTGAGCGCATGGTTGAGGCACGCCTTCTGAGTAATCGACGATTGCGCGACATCGGCTTACGACCTGATCATGGCATACGCATTGCTACAGCACTGGGCCAGCAGGCTGCAACTGCAGGGATCTGCGTCGACACTCTCCTGAAACCGCCTGGTTTGCGCGGCTGCCCAACATGGCTGCCCAGCGGCATGACCGCGACGCAGGCCCGGCGCACCGACGGGTGGACTGGCGCCACGCCTACGCAGGGCGTTTCGCCTCAGACTGACTTTTCTCCCCCCTCCCTGCCCATGATTCCTCGAGATGCGACGGTTAGTCGCCTCCACCGCGACATGGGTCGCCCCTGCCAGGAAGAGCTCGAAAATTGTCGCGAATTGCAGGGGGAGGAGCAGGGGGAAGTCAGGGAGGACCTTTCCGACCGCCCAACACAACCCGCTGGCAACGCGACCTCTCGGCGCGCCCAACCGCCTCGGATTCCAACGGGCACTGCGACGGTCAGTCGCCGCCACCGGGAAGAATGCGATGATAGTCGCGAGTCGCAGGGCGAGGGCAGTTAGAAGACAAAGAGGACTTTGCCGACCGCCCAACACAAACCGCTGGCAACACGACCCCTGGGAACACCCAGCCGCCTCGGATTCCAACAGACGTTGCGATGGCGTCTCACCTAAACCGGGAATTTTGCGAAATCGGTTGCGAGCCGCGGCGGAAAGGGGCAGGGGGAAGACAGAGATGACCTTGCCGACCGTCCAACGCAACCCACTGGCAACACGACCTCTGGGAACACCCAGCCGCCTCGGATTCCAACGGCCTCTGCGACGGTCAGTCGGTTCCACTGGGGAGAGCGCGAAGGCAGCCGCGAGTCGCAGGGTGAGAGGCGGGGAGAAGACGGAGAGGACTTTGCTGACCGCCCAACACAACCCGCTGGCAACGCGACCCCTGGGAACACCCAGCCGCCTCGGATCCCAAGGGGTTCTGCGATGGTTAGCCACCTAAACCGGGAATATTGCGAAATCGGTTGCGAGCCGCAGGAGAAGGGGCAGGGAGAAGACAGAGAGGACCTTGCCGACCGTCCAACACAACCCACTGGCGACACGACCCCTGGGAACACCCAGCCGCTTCGGATCCCAACAGATTTTGCGACGGCCAGTCGTCCCCACTGGGACGAGTGCGAATATAGTCGCGATTCGCAGGAGGCAGGGGGGCCCACCGCTGGGGAGGAGACCATCGAGGGACCGGGGGAGGAGCCCCTGGAGGAGAAGTGCGAGGACGAGGAGAGCGAGAGCACCCCGGAGGACGACCTGGGTTTTTCGGTGGAAAGAGACAACGGCATCTTGGAAGACGGGGCCGCAGCCCGGCGAATGGTGAACAGCGGGCGATTCGTTGTTCCCCGCCCCTCCCCCCCCGCGTCCACGAAGGGCCCCCGCGCCCGAGCGCGCCTCCAGTCCGCTGCAGGCCCCGCCCGCTGCAAACGCGGACGCGCCGCCTCGGCGGGCGGGCTCTGCCCGCGAGATCACCCCTGCATTGGCGTCGCCTTCGACGGACCGTGCGGAGCCACGGGGCGACGGGGGCCCCCTGCCGTCGCCCGCCGCTGACTCCTCCAGCCGATGGCGACTTAGTGTCCGGACTGCGCTGGCCCAGCCGAAGACCGCGTTGACCCCGGCGATCACCGCTGCCACCACTACGACGGCGAGCGCTGACTCGTCCCCGCGCGTGCCGCCTGCCCGTGGAGACGGGGCGGGCCTGGACGCATCGCTTACTGTGGCCTCGCCCCCCGATGCGAGCGGGCCACGTGCGAGCGCAGAGCTGGGCGCGGGCCAAGCAGCGGAGCAGTCGCTGGACGAGTCTGCCTCGGAGGCTGGGGCGCTCGCGGACGACCCGCCGGCCTTCGCGGAGCGGGTCGAGGCGCGGCAAAGGCCGGGGGGGGCGCGCCAGCGGCGTGACTTCCGTCGCACCGGCAAGGCGATGGGGGGCCCTGGCGCCTACGATCCCGCGCGCCACGAGCCTGACGTCCTCCGCCGGCTCCCAGCGCTCACGGGGGAACGCCCAGACTGCGACGACTATTTCGAATTGGCCCTCGCCACGATGAGCCGCCGTTCGCTAATGGGGCGCGTTCGGGGCGTCATTCGCTCGTCCCCGGATAGCCTTGCACGGTGGGAGCGGCGCGCTATCGACTCTAAGAAGCTCGGCAAAGGCAGAGCCCAGCCCTACAGTGCACGCGTGCACGTCATCGTCGTTGTCATGCGCGCTGGCGCCGGGCACGAGAGGACGTCGGTCTACGGCCCCGTGGGCATGGCAGCGCCATGGGGCTTCCACCTACGCTGACCCGCTCCGCTTTAGGCCTGGGGTGCCTACCGCGGCCCTGGGGGCCAGCCCGGCGCGCTGCCCTTCCCGCGCCGGGAAGTCTTTCGCCGCCCTGTGGCTGCGCCTTTTTGCGCCGGGCTTTCGCGCGCGGGTGGCGCGTGCAATTGGGCATGGGCTAAGTGTGCCTGGAGTTCCTCAAGGGTTCAGCGATCACTTGCCATCCCCCCCCCTCGGCGCCTGGCGCGCGACCGTCTCGTCGCTGTCCCCCGGGAAAGGTGGTTTGATTATTTCCACTCTAGGCCTGGCGTGCCTACCGCAGCCCTGGGGGCCAGCCTGGGGCTGCCCCCCCCGAGCCGGGAAGTCCTCGCCGCCTTGCGGCCGCGCCCTCTTCCACCAGGCCTTTGGTTGCATGGATGGTACGTGCAACTGGTTATGGGGAGTGGCGCGCGCCATGGGGTCAACGGCCCGCCGTGGCAGGCTGTCTCCACCTACCCTTCCTGTTTTTCTTTTAAAGCTGCGTTGGTTAGTCGCTTTTCTCCCCCCGCGGCCCTCGCATCCGCTTGCCAGCGCCGCGGAGGCAGGCAGCTCGGCGACGAGTGCAAGCGGGGCGACCAGCGCTGCGCTGACGAGCACATTAAGGCCCAACGCCATTGGCCCATGCAAAAAGGGGCTGGGCAGCGCGTCGCCGACCAGCACCGCCAAGACAAACGGCGCGGCGACGAGCAACAATGAGACTAGTATCGCGACGTTGATGATCACCACGGGCTCCAGCACAACGGAGTCGCGGGGCGCGTCGCTGACCAGCGCCACCGCGACAAGCAGCACGGCAACGATCACCAGGGAGTCGCGCAGCACGGCGTTGCTGAGCACACCGGGGTCCAGTTGCGCGGGCCCCAGCTCAACGGGGTCGAGCAGCACGTCGCGAGCCAGTGCCACTGGGACAAGCAGCGCGGCAACGTGGCCTGGCACTCACCTCAGCTACCTAGGGCGCTCTGGCGCACAGGGCACATAGTCGATAAAAGCGTGCCGTTTTTCACGGGAGCTGAATTGGCGCAGCGAGGGTTGGCGTAGCCATGGTTGGCACAGTCATGGTTGGCATAGGCAGCGCGGTCGGAAATGGCACGGCCAAGTTTGCCATAGTCAGCAACACTTGCTCGAGTAAATGTTCTACCGTTATCTTCCTTTCCTCTCGCGCCGGGTGCGCGGCGCGAGCTTTCCTCCCCCCCCTCCTGCATCCTGACGCTGCAGCGGTTAGCTGGCACAGTGGGGTGCCTACCGTGCCTGGCGTGCACTTCCCTCCTCTCTTTTGTCTCACCGGGGTTTGCCCCGCGCGGCTGGGGTTGCCGCCAATTCTGCTGTCTGATGGTGTTCTGACAGCCTGAATTGCATGCAGGGATCACTTTGGGGATGGGCGGTCATGTGCCCCCTGGCCTGCCCCTGGCTGGCGTCGGCCTCCACTGATGGCCGACAGGGGTTTCAGTGGGATCTCGCTACGCTGCCGACCTCTACGGTGCAAGGCCTTCGGGTTCGGCATGCGTGGCTCTGTGCGCCCGTCGGCTGCTTTCTCCTGCAAGGACTCCGCTTTCGACAAGTGCCTTTGCTGTACAAACGAGAGTTTCTGCCGTTTGCAGTCCTATATGTGACGAGGTTGCCCCTCTTCACTCTTGCGCCGACACGATGTTTCGACATTTGTGTTCGTCCACTTCACAGATGTCATCTGGGGGTGTTTGTCGGTCTCGTTCGTCTTTGACGTTGCCGTCTGATTGACTCACACCGAGTGATCGACCTCTACGTGATTGTGGTCGCGCCGCCGCGCCATTTTGGCTGCGTCTACTCGCTGGTAGCCACCGGGATTTTCCGGTGCCACCGGGAATGGGTCTACCTTTTGTCGTCGCTCTTCTGAGCTGTCGCCCGTTTGCTGCGCCTGTCTTGCTTTTCCGCTGCCTAGTCGTGGCCCGGCCAGAGTTTGTCGTTTCGCTTGCCTTTCTTCTCCTGCTGCCTAGTCGCGGCCCGACTAGTGTTCGGACGGCTTTCGACCCGCCCCGCGAACCTGTTTACCAAAAAGCATTCCCACCCGCTGCTCTCATGTTCCTGGCCCCTGGACCCCAGACGCTGCCACAGCCTGGCCGTGTTCGCAGCTGCCGCCTTGCAGTGGTGGGATGCGCCTCCACGTGGGTTGCTCATGAATGGTTTAGTTTTTTTGCTCAACCACCTGAGGTTGCCACTGTTGGCGTGCGACACAGGTACGCTGGGCTGCTTGCTCAGCCCCACTCTATGCCGTGCTTTGCTCGGATGGTTCGTTTACTTACGGCGCCTGTCGCGACAAAGTACAATTCGTTTGCCTTCCCGGTGGTCTCGCCCATGGGATGGTTGCGCGTCAGCCGCCTGGCACACCTGGCACCTCTTGCAGCTCTGCCTTCAGTCCCCGGCGTCGCCCCTCGGCGGCAGTTTTGGCAGCCGTTAGTTCGCGCGCCTGGGTAGTTACGTTTGGCTCGTACCCCTGGCTGACTGCGGACGCCGCGTGCGCTTCCGCTTGCGGCCGCGACGAAAAAATATCCCCACCCCATGCAGAAACCGTGTCCATGAGAGTTGACGGGGAAAGGGACGAAGAGACACATTTAAGGAACCAAAACGAGCAACCAGGGTGAACCGAGAGCTCTGGGATTAAGGGGGTGGCCTTGGGAGGCCTCTTCGGGCCATCCCTGGGCGCCGCGTGTGGGCGAGGGGAAGAGGAAGAGGAGGAGGAGGAGGAGGAGGAGGAGGAGGAGGGGGAGGACGAGGACGAGGACGACGACGAGGACGAGGACGAGGTGGACGAGGAGGACGAGGAGGACGAGGACGCGGATGTGGATGAGGACGAGGAGGACGAGGATTAGGATGATGACGACGCGGACGAGGACTAATGAAACCATCTAGAGGTATTCTTGCGGTTGCTGCTGTGGTTGGTGCTCTCTGGGAATTTTGTGGGCATTCTTGGAACCCCCTTGGTAACCCTGGAAGGCTTCTTGGGATCATCTGGGAGGCTATCGATTACAGCACGGGGGGTCCCAACTCAGCTCCCCCCTCAGGAGCCCGTTAACCGCTTCTTGGGGCTCTCTTGGAGCGCTCTTGGGCGTTGTTGGAGCGGTCTTGGGGCCGTTCGGAGCATACTGGGAGCAATATTCCAGGTCATCATTGGGCTCTCTGAGGCCGCTGGGGGGCCTCTTTGGGGCCCTCTAGGGACCCTCTTGGGATCCTCTTGGAGCCCTTTTGGCGTTTTCTTGAGGCCCTCTTGGGAACGATGGACGGCCTCTTGGGGCCGTCTTAGAGACCATCGATCCAAGGAGGGGGGGTCCTCGATTTGCCCCCCCTCCCCCTCCGAGGCCATCAAACTCGCCTCTTGGGGCGCTCTTGGGGCGATCCTGGGTGCTCTTGGGGCCGTCTTGGGAGCCTCCTGGGCCCCTCTTGGAGCTTTCGTGTGCCACCTTGGGGCTATGTTGAGGCCTCAAAAACGCATCGGAAGCGAACAGGCGAGAAGGCAACCATAATTGATTTCCCTCGGGTGTTTGAAGGATTTGGGCTTCTCGGGGGGGCCGAACGAGCCCCAAAAGCACTTGGATCCGTCTTGTGGCCCTCTTGGGGACTCCTGAAGGCACGTCGGAAGCTGTCTTGAACCATGTTTGGCTATCTTGAGCGATCTTGGAGGCCATGTTTGGGCTCTCTGTCTGCGACCCTTTTGGAGCCATCTCGGGCGCTCCAACTGCCCGCGACCCCCCCCCCGTCCAGGTCCAGGGGGTGGGGGTAGGGGGAGGGGCAAACCCTCCCCGAAATGGATGAGGGGGTTTTGGAATGTGACAGAAAGACATCGTTAGACCGCCTGCGCCCAAAGGGCTGGTGGGATTACCTCCGATGGTGCGGGGACTAGTTCGGCCACTGCTGCCTGGGAGCTGGTCAAGCTTGCAGTAGCTTCTTGCCCTTGGCTCACACCCAGGGTAAATTTCGATATATGATCCGATGTTTAAATTGATGTTCGCCCTTTCGATACAAGTCGATTCCGATATTCTGATGATCCATTGCGGCCCGATGTTTGCATGACGTTGGTGCGCATCTTGGCGCGACCGACTCGATTCGATCTCGGTTCGGTGTCATTGCAGCCCAGCTCGAGGCATATTCCGATTCGATCCGTTCACCCGAAATGATGTTGATTGGTCTTGCCCACCTCCCAGAGCCTTCGAAGAACTTCCGCGACCCTAGTAGTCAATATTGTCAGTTTCTTCCTCCTCCTCCTCCTCCTATCCCCTATCCCTCCTCTCCATCTTCATCCCCCTCCCTCTCTCTCCCTGTCCTCCCCATCCCCCTCCTCTCCTTCCCTCCTACTCCTTCCTCCTTCCTCCTCCCACTCACTCTTCATTATTATCCTCCTCCTCCTCCTCCTCCTCCTCCTCCTTCTCCTCTTTATCGGTATAACAGTAGTGTCCTCCTTATTATCCTCTTCGTTCTCTCCCTCGTTTCTCCTCCGCCCGTCCCCTGCGCGCCCGCTCCGCTTTCCGATTGCGGCAGGTCTGCTACGCATCCACCCAGGAGAGGCACGGCAACGTCGACGTCTGTTGGGGCGATTCGAAGGACCACGATTTTCTTGACCTCGAAGATGAAAACAAAGACACGTGAATTAGGAGCCGTTCTTCCGACAGATTATGCGTATGCAGTTGTTTCTTCTTGTATGCAGGGTGGGGGCTCCTGGGGGGGTTAGGAATGTCCCTCCATTCTCCTCTCGCCTGTCCGTTCTCCTCCTTCCTCCATCTCCTCACCTCTCCTACCCTGTCCTCCTTCCCTCTCCTTCCTCTCGCCTCCTCCTTCTCCTCCGTCCCTTCTCACTCCTCCTCCCCCTTCCCTCCTGGCGTCTCATCATCATTGCTCTTCTAACGGACTGGAGATCCGAACATCGCGGCGATGATGTTTGTCCTAGGGTAAGTCTCAGCCGTGAGATTGGAGCCATGGTCGCCAGAGGTGTTTGTGCGTTCCTCCTTATTTCCCCTCATCTATTATTATTTTCATCCTCTTCCCTCCGCCTCATCCTTTCTCCTCCCTTTGCCCTGCTTTGGGTGGGCATCCTGGGATTCCACACCGACACCTTGGCCAGATTGCTCAGAATCGCATGGATGAAGAAATTGCGGCCCCCCGCCCCGAAGCAGAAGCAAGAGCGGAAGCAAAGATTCACGGAATTCAGAAGTGTGTGGCGCACCTACGTTAGGCACATCTTTCTTTGCCGGCGTCCTCCGTGAGACGGTGATGTTGAGGCGGACCGTGACCGAGCGGCGTCTTTTTTGGCTGCGAGTGCGCCAAGAGAGGGTGAGGAGGTCACGTGCTCGTGGCCTCTTGCTGGACCACGTGCGTGAAGCTCCTGGCTGGATTCACTTCAAGGTAAAGCCCGCAAGAATTCCAGGACGTCCTCAAACAATAATCACGGCTCAGGCCCTGACCCCGACAGCCTCGCGTACAGCGCATGGGCCCGAGCTTGCGCGAAGGCCCACAACGTGCTGTTTGGGTTGCACGAGCAGGCACTTCTCTGCGGGCCGTTGGATCCGTGTTTCGATACTGTTTATCGCACCCGATCGGCAGCTATGCCTGAGCCACGTTTGCAATAACACGGTCCCTCGTCTTTTCGCCCCCTCATCTCCCCCAGATCGGGGTGGCGCATCAACCCAGGGGTGGAGACATCAACCCCAGGAGGTACACCCTAGGCGATGCTTAAGAAAACTTGTGTTTTCGGCCAGAGTCTTGATTATTCTTAACTTTTCAATGTGAATCCTAAGATTTCAATCGAATTTCTGGGTTTTTTCTCAGATTCTGAGACTCTGAGTTTCTTAACCCATGATTTCTTAAGCATTTCGCAGGGTGTACACCCCAAAGAGGGACTTGCTCAGGGAGGGATTCATCGACCCTCAATCGCCCAATCATCGTCAGTTGGGGCCTGGTTGCCCCGCCCCGCCCAGAGACAGGCTGCTTCGTGATCAACCTGTCGGCGATACATCGCCGATTCCCAGTCAATGTTCCCCGCCCCGTGAGCAGTCCTCGCGACCACCCGCGGCTGGCTTCGCCGTGGTCCTTCGTCGTCGTGGTCGTTTTTTTTTCAGTTTGCGGTCGCCGGCATGGCCGTGGCCGGTTCGCCGTCGGCGTCGTTGCTCGAGCGTCGCCGTTCGTCGTCGTGGTCGTCATTCGTCGTCGTGGTCGTCATTGTGGTCGACATTATTCCATTCGCGTCGTCGTCGTGGTCGTCATTTTGGTCGTCATTCGTCGTCGTGGTCGTCATTCGTCGTCGTGGTCGTCATTCGTCGTCGTGGTCGTCATTCGTCGTCGTTGTGGTCGACATCATTCCATTCGCCCTGTCCTTCCAGCCGCAGGACGGGGCCACCCATCGCAGGCGCGCGCCCCTGGCACGCGGCCGGTGCGGGGGGCGGGGGGGGGGGAGAGGCGACGAGTGCCTCCTGGGGCCGACGTGGTCGCCTTCGCCGTTGTTCAGGAGGGAAAGAAACACACAGACACAATTAATCGACCATCCCCAGGAAAATATGGGAAAATATGGGAAGTGGGGGGAAGACAAAAACCCAGAACATATGGGAAAATATGGGGGGTATTTTTATTTGTGTGTATTTATTTGTGTGTCCCAGTTCCCCTTCAGTTGTCGTCGTCGGGCGGGGCGGGGAGAGCGGGGGACAAGCTAGGTGCGCTCGCGCCTCATCTGACATCCTATCCCTCCCTCTACTCCCTTCCCATGTGGCTGATTTTTCTCTATCCGCGGACGCGTGTCATAGCCAACCTGGGACTCCCACTGGAAGACCACTTCGTATCATGCGCAATCGGAACAGGGGAGAGTTGTTTGCAGAGGAGGACTAGGTGGTGGGTGGGCAGAAGGATGGGCGGGAGGAAAGGGATGAGGACGAAACATAGCGGCAGGAACTAAAGCGGACGGATCGGAGAAGTTGCCCGCGTTGGGGCGAGACGAACGAGCGGGAAGAACAGGAGGACAAGGGGAAGGCGGAGGAGGGGAAAATGAGGGGGACCACAATGAAGCAAGATTCCGATCCAGAAAAATGGCCCGCGCTGGGACGAAAGCGCCATTCTGAACCACAGGAGCATCGCGCCGATCCCAGAAAGAGGCCCACGCTTCAGCGGGAGCACCATTTCGAAACACCGAAAACAATCGGATTGTGGAACATCATAAGAACAATCAATGTTTGAAGTTTTGTGTGTAAGAGTCAGCACGCGGAGGAGGCGGATGATCTCCCGGACAATTTCAGGGGAGGAGGGAGAGTGGTATTCAGGATGTTTAGTTGTGGAGGGGGTTGAGGGGTGGGGGAAGGGCGGGAGAGGGGAGGAGCGGGGATGAGGGGGGAAGAGAGAGAGGGGAATGAGAGAGGGGGAAGGGGATGGAAGGCGGATGAGGGAGGGGAGGGATGGGGAGAGGAGGAGAAGGAGGAGAAGGAGGAGGAGGAGGAGAAGGGAGGAGTTAGAGGGAGGGGAATGGAAAGGAGAGGGGAGAATGAGGTGCAGGTGAAGGGGGGAGAAGGATAAGGAGGAGGGTGGAAGAGAGGGAGGGAAAGGGGGAGAACAGAGATGGAAGGAGGAGGAGGAGGTGGCGGAGGAGGAGGAGGCGGAGGACGACGACGACGAGGATGAGGACGAGGACGAGCATATGGACGAGGATGATTACGACGAGGACGAGGATGGCGAGGACGACGTTGGAAAGAAACTATTTGCCTTGCATCTATCCTTCCAGCCAAGAAGGAATTCGCAAAACGTATGACCATGTTGGTCAACGAGGTGTCCAGCGTGACCAACGTTTTGAAAAAGGATCGCCTCCATGGGTCTCATACTTGCACACGCCACTCCTGGCCATGAGCGTCGAGGGCGTCTCAAGCGAGAACCCCGTTTCGAACAGCAGCCGCCCTCGGTCCACGGGGTCTTCAAATCATAGCAGTCTCCAGCGACGCCCATGTCTGAAAAGGAGCCGCCCTCTTGCCCGGCATATGTTGCATCCTTCAAAGCTCGGGGGCGGAAAAGAGGGGGGTGATGACTAGGGGGGGGTGGATATCATGGCGCGGGCCATGATATTTCCCAAGATCTCATGGCGCCTCTTCTTATTTAATCGCTTCGCTCATTCCGCCGGCCCATACAGTCTCATGTCTGCCGTTTGCCCGAGGGCCTGGTGTCAATGCGGCGCTTTGGGGGTTCCTGGGGCCGCTTGGGGGACTCCTGGGGCGCTCGGGGGGGCATTTGGGGGGCCTCCTGGGGCCGCTTGGGGGACTCTTGGGGGCCTCCTGAGGGCCCCGTGGGGGCCTCTTGGGGCCTCTTAGGGGCCTCGTAGGGGCTTCTTAGGGCCGAGGGCTCGAAATGTTGTTTCGTGTTCCCTCTCTGGGGCCCCTTTGGGGGCGTTCTTGGGGCCCTCTTGGACCGTTTTGGAGGCTTCTTGGGCCGTCTTCGAGCCCTCTTGGGCCATCTTGGGGCCCTCTTGGGTGCCTCTTGGGCCCTCTTGGGGCGATCTTGGGGGCCTCTTGGGCCGTCTTGGGGCGTCGGGAAGCCGAAAAGGTGGAAGCTCCAAAATCTCTCAAAAACCTATGGAAAAACAATGATTTTTGCCTCCGGGGGCCCTATTGGGAGTGCTCTTGGAGGCCTCTTGGGGCGTCTGGGGGCTATCTTGGGCGTCTTGGAGCGATCTTGTGGCATGTCGGACCCCTCGTGTACCATCTTGGGGGCCTCTTGGGGGCCTCTTGGCCTTTCTTGGGGCTCTCGGGGACGTCTCGGAGCCCTGTTGGTGCGCTCATGGAGCGCTCGGGACCCGGCCGGGACCCGGCCGGGACCCGGCCGGGACCCGGCCGGGGACCGGCCGGGGACCGGCCGGGACCTGGTCGGGGTACTTTTCGTCCGGGGACCCCCAGGGGCCGCCCCGCGCGCGCGAACTAGAAAATTGTTAACCAGTTACCGGAGATCTTAGCACGCCTCTGGCCCGTTGGGCCGGCGAATTTCATTACGTTCCTGGCCCCCCCGCTGGGCCGCGCACATGCCGCCGGTCATGATTTGCACCCCCCCCTCTTGGACACCCCCCTCTTGGCCGCTCCCGATGATATGTGGTGGTCTCAAGCGAGGGCCCTACTTTTCAACTGCAGCCGCCCACCATCCTCATAAGTGCTGCAGCGGTTCCGAACGCATGTCCGTGGCGCTTGGGCGAGCGCTCCATTTTGGAACAGACTCGCCCTCTACCCCTGAGGCCACTGCAAGCGTTTAAGACGAATGTGCGCGGCGCCGCGGCGAGAGCACCATTTTGATCAGGAACCGCCCTCCATCCATGAAGAGGTTCTAACCTGTTAGACGAATGTGCTCGGCCCGAAGGCGAGAGCCACGTTCTGAAAATTGCCCACCTTTACATCCATCAACCCAGCGGAAAGTTTGAATGATATGGTTGCGCTCGACGCTAAGGCGATGGCCCCTTGCTGAAAACAACCGCATGCTATCTATGATATACCAAGATGTGACACGTTTAAGCTTCAGGATCATAGCTTGAATTCGTGAGGGGGTCTTAAGCTGCGACCCGCGCCCTACCGACCCGTTGGGAAAAGGAGGAGGTCGGGGAAAGGCTGGGTGTAGGGGATGATCGGAACTCGAAATTCGCAATAACATGCTTTCGCGGATCCGGATGGTCCGCGCATGTTTTCTGAAGCGAAGCCGCCCCAGCGCTCTCAAGGGTTGCGGAGACGGGTCCTGCGCCGACTAAAGATTTCCGCGCGTTTTTTTTTTGTTTAGTGTTTCTATTGTTGTTCGTGTCCGCTGGATTTCTGGGGGGCAGGCCTCCCAAGAAAGGCGCCGCGGTCAGCTCTTTCTCGCAGTCCTGTCCAGGAGGAGATGCGTGCTCTAACACTGGTCGGACGGAGGCGATGTTGCGGGAGTGGACGACTCTCGCTTTTAGAGTACAGTTGGTCTCCAGTTGCTTTGCTCGGGCGCGCTGCACCACTTGCTCCCGTGGAAACGTCACGGCTACTATTGCCCAGGACCCAGCATCCGAAATGTGTTGTCATCGGCATCGCACCAAGGGAGTTTTGAGGGTTGCCGCTGTGCTTCGGCCTCCTGGGGGCCGTCGTCGACGTTGCCGCGGCTAGATCTGCTTCGGATTACTGGTAGTAGCGTGCTCCGTGACAAGTCCTGAGGGGGATCTTGTGGGAGGTCTTGTGGGGGGGATGATGAGCATGACGAAGAGTGGGAGGTGGGAAGTACGAAAAGGGGGGGAAACAGGTGCGGGGGGGTGAGGCGGGGGAGCAGGAGGAGCAGGAGGAGGAGGAGGAGGAGGCTGGAGCGGAGGGTGAGGCGGAGGAGGTGGTGGAGCGGGATGCGGAGGGGGAGTTGGATGGTAAGTAGGGGAGGGGGGCAGGATGTGGAGGACGAGAGACGAGGCGGAGCAGAGGAGGAGAGGAAGTGAGGGCAGGAAAAAGGGGGGAGGAGGGAGGGGGGAGGAGGACAGGGGCACAGGAGGGAGAGGAGGAGAAGGAGAGGTATCGAGAGAGAGTGAGAGTGGGAGATATTGGCGCTGCAAGGGGAGGGGAGTGGTGGCGGAAGGACGCCATAGAGGTCCCGGCATTCTGCCTGACGAAGCGGGACTTGTTGCTCCAAGTTCAGCAGCATATTGTTCCGATATTGCCATTGCACCTGGAAGCCCAGACCCCCTCGCGTCGCGAGCAAAAATCACGCTTCGCGGACGAAAACACAGCGGATTTGTTTTGTCAGGTCTGGCTTCCGTTGACCCTCGCCGGGCTTTGGAACCGTCCAAACGACCCAGGACGAGACACCAGTCCACGGGAAGGGCTCCAGACCTGCAGGGGCCCACGCGGTGAGACAATCGCGACGTCGGGTTTGGGACTTGAGAGGGAACCCCAGGGATCCGCTGTTGCGATATTTCAATCATGGGGGACGTCCCGGCTCTTTCGTTGTGGCCGCCTTGTACACCTTAGGCGATGGTTAAGAAAACCCAAGTTTTCGGCCAGAGTCTCGATTATTCTTAATGTTTCCATGTAAATCCTAAGATTTCGATGGGAATTCTGGGCTTCTACTCAAGTTCTGAGACTATGAATTTCTTAACCCATGATTTCTTAAGCATTTCGCAGGGTGTAGCTTGTAGTCTTGAGTCGATGTTTGACGGTCCTGAGCCTGGCGGGGGTCCCAGGAGGCTGCAAATTGCAAGCCATGATCTTTTACCGCTTGGAGCCGCCCCTTGCGGCTCCGCCGTTCCGCCGGCCGCGGCAGGTACGACCTCAACGAGAGTTTCTTCCGCCACCTGGCCGGCGCCCCGGCCGGGTGCAGCGGCGCCCCCCAGCCCCTTGACTTGAGCACAACCAAACGGCTCTACACTCACACGCAACATGTAACCATATTCAAACAAGGGGCACGCGCGCCCTGGCTCTTGCACGATCTGCAAGAAAATTACTGCACATGACGGCGGCGGGGGTGAGAGGCCAGGAGGCCAGGGAAACCAGGGGGGCCAAGGAGACAGGAGGCCAGGGCTACCACCCGAAAATGGGAGGCCAGAGGCCAGGGCAACCAGGGAGGCCAGCGAGGACATGGCACGGTGGCCAGGGAATGCCACGACGACACGACACCACGTCTCTTCCTCCCCCTCCTCCTCCCTCCCCCCTCTCCCCTCCCCTCCGAACCTGACTTCAATGCATCGCCGAAGTGTCGGCATCAGCGAGGAGCGGGGGATGGGGGCGGAGGGGGGCGGGTGCGGCGCCGGTGCCGTCGCGAAATCCCACCAGTCGTTTTCTTTCCTCTTTCAAAACCCTTCTTCCCTTCGGGGCGGGGTACCCTCCCCCTCTTCTCCCTGTTTTTTGTTCGGTGACCTAAGATGGCCCAAGGTGGCTCCAAGATAGCCTCCGATGCTTCGAGGTGGCATCCAAGATGTCTCAAGATCGCATAAAATGGCAGACAAGATGACCCAATTTTGCTCGAAATCTATCTCCGAGATGGCCTCCAATATGTCTGAAGATCGCTTCAAATGGTTCGTGTGGCCCCCATGACGGTGGGGGCGGTGCGACGCCCAAAAACAGCGGCTGGGGCGGAGGTTGTGCAAGCTGGGGGGAAGGGTTGGCAGAGGAGCAGGGGGTCCCGCTGGTGGTGGTAGGTGTGGGTGGGTGTGTGGGGGCGGGGGGCGAGCCGGGGGGGGCGGGGCGGTGGCGGTGCGACGCCGAAATAAAGCGAACGGGGCGGAGGGGGGAACGCTGGGGGGGAGCGGTGGGCAGAGGAGGGGGGGGGCGGTGGGTGCGGTGCGACGCCGAAATGAACAGGGCGGGGCGGAGGGGAGCGGGGTGGAGAGGGCACTGAGCTGCTGGGGAACGCTGGGGTGAGGGCGGTGCGACGCCGAAAGTGGTCGGGGCGGGGGGGTGGGGGAGTGGTCGGGTCGCGGGGGGGGTCACGCTGGGGGGAGGGGGGTGCGACGCCGAAATAAAAGTGGGCGGAGGCGGAGGAGGTCCGGGCGGAGAGGGCACTGGACTGCTGGGCACGGTGATGGCCGGCGCGATTCCGAAATATGTGGTCGGGGCGGAGGGGGTCGTGTTGGTGGTGGGTGGGGTGGGGGGGGGGGAAAGAGGCGGGGGGGCGGGCCGGGAGGGGGTGGTGCGACGCCGAAATAAAGTGGTCGGGGCGGAGGGGGGCGGGGTGGAGGGGCATTTGGCGGCTGGCGGGAGGGGGGGGCGGGGGGGGGGGGGGGCGACGCCGAGATTGAATATTCGGGGTGGAGGGGGGCGGGCTCGGGGCGGAGGGGGGGGGGTGCAGAGGGCACTGGGCGGGTGGGGAGGGGGGAAGGTCGGTGGGGGCGGGACGGTGGGGGCGGTGCGACGCCGAAATAAAATGGTCGGGGCGGAGGGGGGCGGGGTGCATTGGGCGGCTGGGGAGGGGGGGCGGTCGGGGGGGACGGGGCGGCGGGGGCGGTGCGACGCCGAAGTAAAGTGGTCGGGGGGAAGGGGGCGGGGTGTGCACTGAGCGGGTGGGGAGGGGGAAGGGTCGTGGGAGCGGGATGGTGGGGGCGGTGCGACGCCGAAATAGAGTGGATTGGGCCGAGGGGGCGGGGTAGACCAGGCACTGGACGGGGAGACGGTGCGACGCCGAAATAAAGTGGTCGGAAGAACGGGGTCACGCTGGTGGTGGTGGTGGTGGTGGTGGTGGTTGGAGTGGGTGGGTGGGTGGATGGGCTGGAGGGGGGGGGGGGGCGGTGGGGCGGTGGGGGCGATGCGACGTCGAAATCACGTGGTCGGGGCGGAGGGGGGCGGGGTGCATAAGGCACTGGGCGGCTGGGGAGGGGGGAAGGGACGTGGGGGCGGGACGGACCGTCCCGCCCCCACCGTCGGTGGGGGTGGCGCGACGCCGAAATAAAGTGGTCGGGCCGGAGGGGGGCGGGGTCCAGAGGGCACTGGACGGGGGGCGGTGTCACGTTGTTGGTGGTGGTGGTGGAGGTGGTGGTTGGTGTATAAGAGGGGTCGGGGCGGAGAGGGGCGGGGTGGACAAGGCACTGGACGGGGAGCGGTGTCACGCTGGTGGTGGTGGTTGTGGTTGGTGTATAAGGGTCGGGGCGGGGCACTGAACTGGGGGCGGTGTCACGCTGTTGGTGGTGGTGGTGGTTGGTGTGGGTGGGTGGGTGGGTGGAGGGGCGAGGGGGGCGGTGCGGTGGGGGCTCTGCGACGCCGAATTACAGCTGTCGGAGCTCAAGACCCTGTGCAAGATAATAGACGTTCTTCGAAGACGTTCACAGACAACCCAATATGGGGTCCGCAGCTCATGTTGTCAACCCGGGCGGGTCATCGGAAATAGGAAGTTGTTTTCATTGTTGATATTTTCGAGCTTGCTTGTGGAGGACGTGTCAGGCGGGAGCCTCGCTTCTCAGTGGATCCCAGGCAGGTCTCAGGCGGCAGTCGGGAGACCCGTCCCCATGGGCGCGCAGCTATTGTAATTCATCCGCGCGTGCCACCGAAATCTTGTAACTGTCGTAAGTTATGGACTCTTGATGATTGAAAACGAATAGCGTCTCGTGCGGGAGCCTCGTCTGTGAAAGGATCGCGGAGCGGAAAAAAAAAGCCTTGAGCAGAAACCAAATGGCTCGTTTCTGAAAGAACCGCGAGGAAGTTCAGAGCATGAGCGTTGTCCTAAAGGGCTTTAGCGGGCACAGCTTTGACGCGCAGTTTTCCAAGAGGTCTAGGTGGCGGGGAGCAAAGGCCGACGGGCTGTGAAGAGCATGGCGCAGCACTGAAACGGCTGGCGTTTTGCTACTGGGAGCCGAAGGCGCAGGCGACGGCGAGGTCGATGTCCAGGCCCAGCGAGCAGGATTCACGTGGCAGAGCTCGGAGCCGCACGTCTTGCGCCGTTCGGGGTTCACCCTGATTCCACGCTGTCGCAGGGTCAGACGCTGCGCAAGGACGTCACCACCGACTGCGCCAGGGACGAGGGTGAGGTCGCAAGGGCATGTCGGACGAGCGGCGGTGGCTGCATCGCCATTCCGGCGCCATGCGCATGCGCAACATGTTGATTTTACGACCACCCACTCGAAACATGAGGACACATTCAAGGTCCCGATGACCCTCTCGAAGTATTACCATGGCAGACCAGCCATTCCTGGGGGGCACGGGTCTGGGGGAGCTGGGGGCGCCCTCCTATATGATATTCCTCCTTTATGTAATTTCAAGCAGTTGCACCTGAGACTTCGCATAGCTGTGATGCTCTAGGGTAGCAGCGACGGCCTCGGAGTCAGCCCTGAAGGTGGCGCGAACCCCCTCGCTGGGCAGGACCAGAAATCTCACTCGACCCAGCGCTGGGATGGCCGTCTCAAGCTAACGCCGCAACTACGACAGCCATGCCAAACAAACAAGAGCGCGAAGCCCATAGCAACCCGATGTCAGGACACCGGCACAACATACATCATGCACCTTCGGCTGAGCCGGCCAAGCGCTTCCATGAGGGCGGCGCGCAGGCATGGGGGCAATCGGGCGCGATCCAACGCAATCGCTTGACATGCGACAGCTTGACGCGTCGACAAACAGAGAAACATATCCCACATACCCGCGCCTCGCAACAATGATCGAAACAAACCAAGCCCACCGCGCGGCGCGCGGCAGGGTGACTGCGCAACTGCGTGTCCGAGGGGGCGCCACGCCGACAGCGCTTGGACGTCGTGCGACATGTTTTGAACCGGAACGCGGGGGCCCTCGAAAATCCAAGGGCAGGGGTGGCCGCCAGCAGCCGGCCGTCGGCGCGAAACCATTGCAATGATTCGGAGCGCGCGTGCGCGGCGCTGCGAACCTTCTCCTTCCACCCCTGACTACGCGGGAGACGACGACGGCGAGAATGCAGAGCAGGGGTGGAGGAGGGGCACGAGGAAAGGACATCGGCGTAGGTGGTGATGATGATAGAGGCGACGCGGAGAGTGGGGGGCGGGGCGTGAGAAATATGGAGGAGGAGCGGGGGGGCGAGGAGTAGGGGGGGGAACGGGCGTGCCAGACACGCCCGCGCGGGGCCGCAGGGTGCGCTGGTCCTCCGCAATGACGACGCGCAAGGATGGGGGTCCAGGAGGCGGCGCTCGGCCGCCCCAAATTTCCCGTCTAACCCTTGCGCGTCGACTTTTTTCCGCCAGGGTGGCTTGCGCCTCCCCCAGGGGGCTTCCCAAGTGGCTGTTTTTGTCCTCCACTAGCGGAACACTACTAGGTAAGCTTTCTTCCTCCGCTAGAGGAACGCTACTAGGTATGCTTTTTCGCCCCCCAGAGGAACGCTTCCGGGCGCGTCGAAAGGGGGCCAGACTGGTTCCGCCTCTGCGGCCTTGTCGAGAAGACCGGGGGCAGCATCGTTCAAGGGGAACTTTGCTAGGTAAGGCTACCGCGGCGGCGCCTGCAATGAGCATGCGCGGATATTTTTGGAGCCCTCTGGAACCTGTGCCCGCCCCCGAATTACCCCCCCCCCCCTGGCGGCGCCTTGTCCCGCGGGGGCCCGACAGGCCCTGCGCCGCCGACCGGGCCGCATCATGCGCCAATGCCCGCCGCCTGGCGGCAACGGGCCGGGGCGCCCCCGCGCCCCATGCCGTTTGACGGCTCACGCGCCCCCAGCTCCTGGCCGCCATGCACGGGGGCCCTTGGCCGACGGGGGGCGCTGCCCGAAGGCGGAGAAACAGGCAGAACGACCACCCCCTGTTTCGACGCCAGCTACCGCGCCAAGTTCCTGCGCCCACAGCGCGTTCAACGCTCTCCCTGATCGCGCCCGCGCAGCCCAGCGAGCGCGCCTCCACGCAGCGCGCAGGCATATATT